AGGCTGTGGAGTCTCCTTCTCTGGAGATATTCCAGCCCCGCCTGGCCGCGGTGCTGTGCCCCCTGCTCTGGGTGACCCTGCTTGGGCAGGGGGTTGGGCTGGGTGACCCACAGAGGGCCCTGCCAACCCCTACCAGTCTGGGATTCTGTGAGTTCGTGGCTGCACTCGCTCGCTGGGCTCTCCCACTAGCACAAGCTGGGGTCTCTGTGCGATGTGTGTGACAACAGGATCCTGGGACCGTGCCACAGTCTGCACTCCGAGCACCAGCAGCCTTGGAAGGAGCAGCCCGTCCCCCTTAAGCGATCCAAGCTTGCTCCAGCCTCTCCCTTTCTCAGCCCCATCGCATTTCCCTCCCTCCAGCCAGCTCACCTTGCCTACAGGGCAAGAGATCTGTGCTCTTGTGCTAGGGATGAGTTACAACTGCTTCAAGACCCAGCACCGACTGCACACGACCCCTTCTATAACCTCTTCTCCCACAGAAACAGGACAGCTCGCTCCCTTCTGTCCCCAAACTCACCTAGAAAGCAACCCCATCCATCTGCAGCACCACGGTACGGCCTGGCCACCCCACACCCCCCGACACAACCCCGCACCCCCCGCTTACGTGTGCAGGAGACGGTGACTTCGGTGGGGAGGCTGCAGCAGAGATCGCCGTAGAGCAGCCGCGCGTTGAACGGAAAGGTCTTGCTTCGACTCGACAGGTTGTAGTTGAAGACCAGCAAGTTACACAAGGAGTTCCTCTGCAAGGTTCCTTCTATCTGGTCCGAAAAGTGTTCCTGGAGGGACGAAGACGGGAAAGCGAGGGTGGGAGTCCATCCGCGTCGGACTGGGAGCTCGAGGGTGCCCCCACCCTCCGCACCAGCCCGGCATGCCTGCGTGCTTTGTGTTAAGAGATTGATTATAGAGAAGACTGATATAGAACTAGAACATAGATTCAATTGTGTAAACACAGCTGTGTTAAGAAACCATACAATCGGTGTGTTGCAATTGGGATAGAAACCAACTGTATGGATTGCATCAAACAGAATTCACAAAAGAAGATGAAGGACAAACAACGACTCCGAGACAACCCTGAAACCAAGCAGGGCCTGAAATCAGCGAGGGAGAATTCTACGAAGACAGAATAATAGAAAGAACTTCATAAATGATGTTCTTAAAGGAACAGAACGGTTGCTTAGAAACTTATGATGATTCTAGACTTGATGTAATGGGTTTAATAAATGTCTATAAACTGGTCTAGTGAGTTAAACTTCGCTCACTGAGGTGATGGCCCAACTCTGAGTTGTGAATAAAGCAATATCCAGCGTAACCCACTCATGTGTGAATAAAATCTTTAACACTCTGGGGTGGCTGTGCATCGAACAGGCTTTGTGTGGGAAAGGCTTAAAGCAAGAAATGCTCACGCACACCCTCGAGCCGCGTCCTTTTTACCCAGTCACAGCTATTTCAGCTGCGGGACCTCCGGAGGCGAGGACAGCTTCATGCTGGGCGGTGAATTTTAAACGAGGAAAACATTCAGGTAGGTGACAATCGATGGAAGGGCAGCTGCATTTCCAGCCAAGCTCTAAAGACCAGAACCACGAGTGCTCCACGGAAAGAAAACCGCCGAGATTCTCTCCAGCGCCTCGTAACGCTTGGTACCCCACAGGGAAAAGGACGGGCGAACCAGCATCGCCGCGGCCACTGGTACCTGCAACTGGTCTGCCTGGTGCCTCCTCCCCACGTAAGCGTTCAGGTGGTCCGCCAGGACGGACAAGAAGCGCCTGATGTCCGTCTCCAAGTGCTTCTTGGCGATCTGCTCCAGGGGGATGAAGGTGGGGACGGAGTGGCGGTGAATCCGCACTTCTGGCTTGGTGAGCAGGTCCAGGTAGTAGGAATCCAAGTAGGTGCCCTCGTAAGCAGTGCTGATGCAGAAGCAGACTCCTTGCTTGGTCAGCTTCCCGCTGATCCCTTGGGTGCAGAGAAAGGGGTTTACTCAGCGCGACCCTAACCCGTCCCCGCAGGGCAGCTCTGCCGGGCAACGCCGACTGCAAGAGGGGCTGCGTCCTCTGACTCCGCTCGCTCAGGCAGCTCCCTCGGAGGATGAAAGGCTTGCAAGAGTTTAGGGACACAAAACGCCGCAGATTTTTAAGAAGGGACCTCCAACGAATTCAAGTAGCTGAAATTCCTAATTCCCCCGGCTCCAGCGCGACGGGCTGCCCTGGAGGGGGGGAAGGCAGAGCTTCCCCGCCCCGAGGAGAGCGGTCGGAGCGCTCACGGCGGGGCTCAGCCCGCTCGCAGCAAGGCGCCGCTCGCATCCCCACGCTGTCTGGAACACAGAGCAAAGGCGATTCTTGATGGAAACCAAAAAAAAAAAAAAAACACTAAAATAAAAATCTCAGGAGCGCATAACAAGAGGGCGCTGACCTCACAAGCTTGCTTGGAAGACCCAGACCCCCTGGACATTTAACTGCCCAGATCCCAAAGACTCATTCACAAGGTAGTTACGCGTTTCCCAGAATCCAGACCTGAGTTTAAATGACACAGTAATTTAAAATATCTTCTCTCTATACATTCTCTCTATATGTTCTCTATATAATCTCTGTATATAGAATATATTCCATATATATTCCATATATATAGAATATATTCTCTCTATATTCTCTGTATATAGAATATATTCCATATATATTTCATATATACAGAATATATTCTCTCTATATTCTCTCTATAGAGAATATATTCTCTCTATATTCTCTCTATAGAGAATATATTCTCTCTGTATTCCCTCTATAGAGAATATATTCTCTCTGTATTCCCTCTATAGAGAATATATTCTCTCTGTATTCCCTCTATAGAGAATATATTCTCTCTGTATTCCCTCTATAGAGAATATATTCTCTCTGTATTCCCTCTATAGAGAATATATTCTCTCTGTATTCCCTCTATAGAGAATATATTCTCTCTGTATTCCCTCTATAGAGAATATATTCTCTCTGTATTCCCTCTATAGAGAATATATTCTCTCTGTATTCCCTCTATAGAGAATATATTCTCTCTGTATTCCCTCTATAGAGAATATATTCTCTCTGTATTCCCTCTATAGAGAATATATTCTCTCTGTATTCCCTCTATAGAGAATATATTCTCTCTGTATTCCCTCTATAGAGAATATATTCTCTCTGTATTCCCTCTTATAGAATAAAATAAAATAAAATGTAATTTAAAAAAATACAGTAAATACGGTAAAAATTCAGTAAATAATAGTTCCTGGAACATCCCAAAAGCCTCCTGTGAAAGGCAGGGAATGTCAAGGTTACTGCTCTTCCCGCATTTTCAGGCTCTGAAGGCTCCCAGCACACCAGCAGCAGCGTTAACGGGGAAGTCACGCTTCACAGCGGGCTCCTTTTCCAAAATTCACCACCCCAGAAACGCAGCCGTGGGCAGAACACAGGCAAACCCCGAGACATTACCTGTGAGGTAGAAGACCTGCAGCATGGCCTTAACGCTTTTTATCTTCCACTCCAGAACAGCCTGAGCACTGGGCTGTGCCGCATCCGACACGACTCCTGCTTTCCCAAGCTGCTGCAAAAGCCAGAGGAGAAGAGAGGTCAGGAACTGCTGACACGAACTCGTCACCGGCAGGGAACACAGTCAGGCTACAGAGAAAAAATAACCCTGCTCTGAGAAAAGCAAGATGTCACCTCCAGCAGAAGAGGGGGGAGATGAAGCAGAAGAGGGGGAGGAGGGAAGAGAAATCAAAGGAAGAGTTCAGAAATGGCCACACGACCTCCAAGCAAGTAGCTCCAGCAGTTCTGAACTACACGATACTGCAAACAGGGGACAGCAGGACTATATATCACTTAGAAAGGGAAAATAAAAAAATAATAGGTGACTCCATACGACTAATCTCAGTAAACCCACCCTCCGAGAGCAGGGGCACACCACCGCTCACCGCCAGCCCTCCGCACCAAGCCCTTTCTCACCCCTTTCTGCTGCAGGTCCACCTTAGCCCGCAGCTCATCCCTCTGGCGTCTCAGCTCCTGCACCCTCGCTTTCAGCCTGGCCAGCTTCTCCTCTCGCTGCTCCGTCTCCTCTTGCTTCACTGCCA